ATTATAATGTTTTAAAAATACACAAGGGGGAGGGGGGAGTGAGCGTGGACGTTTCTACAGATGACTGTAATATACAGGTGGCGGTTAGAGCAGTTTCGACTGTAATACGGGAAGAAAAGACGGGTATGTCCTAAAGACTTTTGTGACACAAATAACGTACGTGTTTATCTGTTTTATTTTTAGCCTGTTTCTACTATTACAGTGCTTGAGCGTTTGGAAACAGAGAGCAATGAAATGTCTACCATCGTTGATTAATAATTACATTCAATTCCATTCTAATATATTATGTATTTATCGATATATTTTTTTGGGTCATTTTGAAGTCATCCGTATTTAATAACTACTTTTAATAACAAAGATCGTCGAAAGACATCTACTGTTGTGTGTTACTCAATACAGTGAAAGGACAGTGTTCTTTCATATGAATATTTTCTTTTAACTTTAACCAGTTTTACTACTTGCTTTTGTACGAGTTTACAGCACAAATAACACAATTAGGTGACATACTCGTACGTGTCAACGATTAGAAGCGTTACAAGAGAGTGACGTACAAAGAAAAGTAGGAGGAAAGATAATGATGACAGATTTTTGACAGTAAAGTTCGAAACATCCGCTCTAAAGAAGTTTTTGGGTAGTAGGCCCTAGCTATACACTGTTTATAATAAGGGGCAAAATGTATATTATGTGAATGTACCTGTATAAAACTTTGTCTAGACTCTTCTGTTGCGACCATCTTGGTGAATGTCTGTGACCCCATGTTCCAGCCTCCAAGGGATAGCAATATCTTTAATTTTGGATACATCTTCTTCCAGCTGGTCACTTTTTCGTACCTAGACAGTAACAAGCAGCCATTAACTTAATCAGCAACACTCAGATGGAAGCTAATATGAACACGTTCTTTTAACTGATTCAAGTTTGTTATGCAGTAATATTTTCTATAATAATGTACAAAATCAGTTCCTAAAAAAGGACACACTCACACACACACACACACACACACACACACATACGCACAAAAACATAAACATACACATATATACGCACAAACAAACACACATTCAAATATACAAACACATACACACAGAATAGTACATCTTTTTATTAACTTGTTTCAACTTCCTGCGACTTGAACTTGAAAGCAGTATTCTTTCTCTTTATGTAATACCTTGATGTACAGCCCAATGAGTACGTAAAAATTCACACTTGCACTCACCTGTGCTTCATATAATTTTCTCCTGAGTTCTTGTTAACAAAGCAATATTGTGCATAGGTGAAACACATTTCGAACCACATTCTTAAAATAGGTTAACATTTTTTTCCCGCATGACGTTACGCGACCTAAATGTGAGTCCCTTCGAGATTGGAGACCGAAGAGGTGCTCACAAGGTCAAGAGAATTTCAAATGGAGGGCTAAAAATTACTTTTACCGGTTATGTTTAAGGTAACACTCACTGTTTATTTGAGGCCGCTTATTGTTGAACATCGAAGCAGAAAGTACAAAATCGGATAAATAACCAAAGGAGAAACACATTTTCAACGAAATTCGAACCCGAATGACAAAGAATATCAATGGTTAAAATTCATTTCCTAAGATATTTGAACCCAAATCACCAACATGCCAGCCTTAAAAACACAAAGCAACTCACATGCCAACACTCCAGTCGGTACTCTCATCATTCCATTCAAAGGGTGCCAGCTGGCTGGAATCGTTGAGCTTGGCAAAAGCGTAGTGGATGTGTGTACACAGTGAGGGGTCTATGTTATTTGGGAAGAACTTTGCCGGGGCCGGTCTGTATTGAGACCAGTTGGTATAGTAGCACACTAGGAGTTTCTGCGGATTTGGCGTTTTTTGCACGTCCATTTCGTAGTACTCGAACCTAATGTTCGTTTCCAGGACGTGTTTCCGTAGATTTGACTGTTGATACAAGTGAATATACGCACAGTGAAGTGGAAAAGGTACTTCACAATGTCATTTAAAATGTCCTACCCTATTCTACATACAGGGAACAGCACAAAGAGATAGGTGAAAAGGCATATTATATTGGGAACAATTGGAACATAATATCAAAGAGTGGAACGGCCCTGACTGGAATCTTACTACGGAAAGCTGAGACCCGACAGGGGTGGAAGAAGATGATAGCAAAATCTGCAGTGGTGCCTCAACGGTCAGCTAGACTACGGGATAGGTGAAGATGAAGAAGAGTCAGACTGTCATATTTATTATCTTTACTTCAATACGTGAATTTATGGAAAGCAGGATCACACAAACACACACACACACACACACAA